GTATCTAGTCGAAGACATTACCCTTCAAAATTGAAAAAATTTCCCTCGTTCCCCGTAAATGGGGGAAACCTCCAAAAAAATTACAAATTTAAAAATCGCTAATTTTCGAAATTTTTTCAATTTTTTTTACTAAAAACTGCCGTAACTTTTTCAAAAATGAACATTTGAATATAATTTTTTTATAGATGCTTGATGTCTTTATCTATCATTTGGTATATTTTTTTTGTAAATCTGACACTTTATCTGCCCACAGGGGGGGATTTAAAATGACAACTTTTTCACAAAAAATTAACTTTTTCAACTTAACTTTTGAAAATGTTCCGGAAGGTCTGACACTTTTATATATATCTTAAATTAAAGCTTATGTAATATACTTTAATTTGAAAAAAAAAAATTTGACCTCTGGACTTGTCTTCGTGGTGAAAGTTGACATCAAAGTTAATAAAAAATTACGATTTTTGTAAAATAATTTTTTTTTATATTTTTAACTTAATAATGCTCTAACTTTTTCAAAAATGAACATATCAATATAAATTTTTTTTATATAGATGTTTGATGTCTTTACCTATCATTTGGTATATTTTTTTTGTAAATTTGACCTTTTTTCTGCTCACAGGGGGGGATTTAAAATGACAACTTTTTCACAACAAATTTACTTTTTCAACATAACTTTTGAAAATGTTCCGGAAGGTCTGACACTTTTATATATATCTTAAATTAAAACTAATGTAATATATTGTAATGTGAAAAAAAAAATTTGATCTCTGGACTTGTCTTCACGGCGAAAATGGCTACCGAATGCTATTTTCGTGTGAAAATTCTCGATTTTATTATTTATATTATATTTAACTTTATAATGCTATAACTTATTGAAAAGTTTATGGATCCACACAATTTTTTTATGAGAAATAATATTTTTTAATAAACCCTTTTTCATTCGACATACTTTATCTTAATCGAGATATTAATAAGGAACCAGCAGATCAAGTAGCTTTTGGAATAAAACACCAATTTTTTTAAAATTAAACACTATCTAAAGATTTGCATCGAAGCGTTTATTTTTGATAGTGATTTTAATCACTGTCAGATATCATT